CCGAGGCGAAGAAGTCCGTCCGAGAAGTGTCAGGGCGTTTCACTTTCTTGCTGGCGGCAGTTGGTAAGCCACACTAACGCCTCCTCGATAGACAGTCGCGGTTGAAAGAGGCGCTGCAATTGATGGCAGGGGTGGTGGAAGGATGTCGTGCGCGACAACTCGGCCTCGAGTGCCCGATCAACTTGATCGTCCACCACGTGGGTGAGCACCACGTAGCTGCCGTCTTCCAGGGGTGCACTGTCAATGTCACTGTCAAAGGCAGCGCAGCCAACATCCGAAATCCTTAGTGCCATTAAAAAAACGGTGAAAGAGAGCGAAACCGAAGGGACTCCATGGCGGGTGGACGTTGGGTTAGTCGATGACGCTGCCACCAATGTAATACCCGGCCTATTGGAGGGAATAACTCCCGACTCGACCTTCTCAAACACATCTTCAAATTCTCCCTCTCCTGAACCGAATTCATCTTCGTTGATTCCCCAAGGTTCCATCATGTAGGCAAGCAGTCAGCAAGACATCAAACGCAGCAGAGGGAAATCATATATTAACGGTGTTATCGACAGGTATTAATAATTATATTCATAAGGTTTATTTGTAAAGTACATGTTCGGCACCGTCAAAAACCTTGGAGGGCAGGAAAAACCTAAAACAAGCCCCTTCTTTTGCAGTCACTGTTGGCTTTGTTGTGTCTTATGCTTGGTCAGTAGTGTGCGAAATAATGAGTTTGTTTTAAGTGAAAAAAACCGGACTTAAAAGGTACAATAATAGCAAAACATGAAATTAAATCGCCATACATTATACGTGTTACTGTTTCATAGGAAGAATACGTTGGGTCTGGAAAAACTGTCATTTCATATAACTGAGGTGGATTTAGCCGCGATCCGTTTGAAGGCAAAATAAACAGCTGAGGGCATCGCATCATCCGCATATATGGATTTGCTCGATATGGGGATTACAATCTTTGTCCATCGGCAGGATTTTGATAAATTGATGGGATGTTGCAGATGCCTGAGGTGGGTCGAGGCAGCTGGAAGCCGATTGCGAAGCACAATCGTCATTCAAGTGCGACGGCAGAAGATGCTTGGTCTTTCGTTCATCGTCTGTACAATCTAGGTGAGATATAAATCTTGTTAAAACATGCTTAACGTTTATACTACTGATACGTTATAAGAGGAGGCAATTTATATTTTAGCATATTTGTAGATATTTTTTCCTTTATAAGAATTTTTGGCAAGCAGGATTAGTGAGGCCAGTAATTTTTACAACTAAAAGACTACTTCCTACTTTTCAGTAGGCATACTATTTTTCGTGCGGCACATCTCGATTTAGATGCAGGAGTTGGTTCACGCGCCAATTTTAATCCACCCAGCTCGCACTTTTCGCCTCTTTCCCCAAATCATTGCCTCGGTTACCTTGCCCCGGTTCCGCGGACACCCGCGCCATCCTTTCCGTCAACC